AACTGTTACAGCTTGAGCTAATGAGCCAACACTCTCCAGGTGGGGCTGTAACAGACTGATCTCCTCTGTGGATCAGGCCTGTAGCACACATTCACGAATGGGTCGCACTCGATCATCACGGAAGTCTAGGAGGTCCCTGCCTGACAACGGGACAAACAGGGGACCTGAGCCTTGAGGCATCTTTGCTTTTGAAGTGGACCTCAGAAAGCTTCGAGAGTGGAAAAATCCCTGCTGAAAGACACTTCCAAACTCTAATCTCACTTGAGATACCAGGAACTCCAAGCACAGTCCCAGATGTGGGAGCTTTACAACAGGCCTTAACAAAATTCTGTCACTGTGCCGGCCTGCCAGTTTCCCAGCTGCTCTACCCATCCTGCTAGCCGTGAGAGCTGCTTATGGAAACGCTGGGCTCTTGTCCGTGTGGAAGGCTATATATGCCGTAGGATTTATAAAATGATTCCTGAGCTGTTAAAAATAGGTTGCTATTTATGGCGCAGGAGTTTGACAAAATTGCGGCTTTAGCCACTCTTAGCGTTAAACATCCAAACAGGCCGTCAGGCACTGCCAACCTGTGTCAGTCGCTCTGATTGTTTGTCTGATATTACAGATCTATCATTACACTTACTCGTGCACGGTGAACGAGATTTGTTACACATTGTGCCTTCAAAATATGATTGTTGTGCATGGGACTCTTATCCCCTAGCAGCTGTAACTCAGTTTGTAATGTCTCACCTCGCTTACGTGGATTTGGAGGTTAAGAGCCAGGGTTCTATCCCTGATGCCACAGGTGCGTTGATGACTGTCATTTATCGTCTATAGCACATGGATTTGACATCACACCCATTTACGTGTAAAAATTAAGCAAGCAAGGCAACTCTGTGCACAAATGGGTAACAGAATGTGCAAATACAACTTTTTTTTTATTTCCACCTAGGCGTAAGGTCCCTGGGGGATGTTACCTGAGCAGTACGGCTGCATCTACCTTGCACTGGGGCCAGGTGGTCTTAAATCAGGGAACTGCAGCAGGATTCCTGATGCAGCTACCATGAGCCCATTATATTAGAGAGAGAGAAATGCTACATTTATGTTCCCCACTAGTTTCGGGGTAGACAGACTGTCATGTCTTTGCCCTTTACACAATATCAAGAATATGAGGAAACCACATGGACAGCTGGGGGCCAAATCATGTTTACTAACCACATACAAGGCTGGACTACATGTATCCACAACTGCTCTGTTCGGTTCAGGGGGCTTCTTCAGTAGAGGACGGGGAGTCCCACTAGAGGGCTCCCACGCTGTTTAAAGGGACACCATCCAATGCCAATATATTACATGATGGTTCTTCTAGTTAGGTTTATAATCACGTGCAAATACGCAGTCACTCCAGCACATGCATGGCTACTCAGACACTTCTGCAACCAGCTGGCAGGAAAGACTCGACATCTCCTTTCAAAGCCCAAGGTACTGCTGGTAAAACCTTAAATTATCGCAAGGGTTAGAAAAGTGACAGGCCTTTCCATTTGGAGCTCTTTCGCGCTTTAGCCGGGCTTTCAGGTTCCCTAGCATCAGTTTCCAAACCTCTCTGGGGACAGCAATCACTTTCAAACAACCCCCATGTCTCCTAACCCCGAGGCACGGAAGAGCTCTGCAGCCGGCTCAAACTGTTCTTTGGGAGCAAAGAGGGAATAGACGGACTGAAAGAGCAGTTTGGGGAAAATTGGCTTTAAAAAACTGAGCAGCCTGGCTGCTGAATGGGGGGGGGACAGCTGTGTGCTGAAGGCGTTTCTCTTGCTGTTCATGCACCAGACAGAGGTAATGCTTGGAAGATGGCACCAGAAGGAGGTTTGACATTGGATACGTCTACACGGCAAGGGAAGGTGTGATTGTAGCATGGGTAGGCAAACCAGAGCAACCTTTAATCCAGTTTGCACAGGTAACAATAGTAGTCTAGATGCAGAGGCACAGGCTAGCTACCCGAGTACAAGCCAGCTGAGGAGCCCGGCTGCTAGCCCGCATGTACTCCAGTTTTTAGGCCATGCCACCAGGTGTAAACCACTATTGTTAGCCAAGCTAGCTACTGTCAAATCATCAGGCAATCTGAGAAGAGCAAACCTTCCCCCCAACAGGCAACATCTGAACTGGGGATATAACCAGGGCGAGACCTGGTTAGTTTAGACACAGATGCTGCGTAAATTAGGCCAGATGAGAAAGGAGAGGCTTATCTGCAATTTAGTTATAGCAATACAAAAAATGCCCCTGCAAAACCACTGTTCCACCTGAGCGATTAAAACTCTCTGAACGACAGATCTGAAGAATGTTTTGGTATTTGAGGTCGCTGGAGCCTGTGTGAGGATTTGCAGCTGCCAGTCGAGATCTGGCTGCTCACAGCTGGAGGTCTGATTAATTCAGTTGTGTATCTGGAAGGTTTTCAAGCTCTTCAAAAAAATGTTATTTGTAAACTCCTTTCGAAAATGGGTTGGCAAGTTCACACGCACACAGACGCAGCAGCCACCTAACTACCACCCCTCTGCCAAGCTCTAACTCCTCAATTAACAGCAGCAAACATTTATTTATAGGGTCCCTCGCACCCACAGGTTCCTCGCATGAGTGTCAATAAAATATACACACAACAAAAGCAGCACGGTGCAAGAGTTTTCAGAAAGAGGTTGCAAAACCCTTTGAGCAACCCATTCCCGGTATACTATGGAGAGGGATGCTGTTGAGTCAAGGCAAGCTTATGGATTGATGGACATGGTACCACTGCTCCTAGAAGTTCTGGCAGTACCATCCTTGACTAACTTCTCAGAACATGGAAGTCTGGGGTATGCTACTTGTCTGCAGATAAGTCCAGTATTTCTGAGACACCCTGCTATGCTATGTTTCCTGGAAGACGAGCTCTCTCTTGGAGGTCTGTTTTCTGAGACTTTCTTGAATCAGTGCCTGTTGTGACCTTCCTGGGAGAGAAGAGACCGCATTTGGTTGTGAGGAATATAAAGGGGATTCTTTATTGAAGCTGGACACAGACAGACCTTGTGGTTCTCAAGCGTTCTCCGGCTCCCAGACTAATCCAACCTGTGCTGCCCTGCGTCACCACATAGGGTGTTCCTAAATCGTGACCTGGTCTATACAGTCCAGAAAAGACTGCTCCCAACATGACAGTATGTTTAAGGAAGAGCAAAGCCAGGAATTAGATCAAAATGATCTATTTTTTAAAAAAAATGTTTTGCATTCTTTTCCCAAACAAGTATTCTCTTTTAATCCAAAAACATTTACTTTCTAAAAGCAGCATCATGAATGATGGACTATCTGACCTTGTGGTTTGTTATTAATGCAGATGGTATTTCTGGAGTTATTGACTTCTGAGAGGCATTTCCACGTCTAGACACTGGTTGAATCACACAGCAGTAACACCCTGGCATTATTCCACAATAAATCAGGCCTTTGATTATTATTAAGAATATTATTAAGACTTTCATTAACCTTATCTGCATGTTCCTGGATACTCCTGTTTGCAGCTGCCAAAACTTAGACTCCTCTATGTAACTTAATCTAGGCTTTAAATCTATTAATCCTCCCATAGGTGCGGGATGTCAGCAGCGCCAGATGGATGAGAGAATAGTTGCTTTGATCTACCAGACCGAGGTGCCCTCTGTAGACAAAGGAAATGATTCTGCAAGGATGCAGCATGCCCTTAACTCTCATTGACCCTTTGCATCCCGCAGGAAACCCCAGTTAAACACTCACAAAGGCGAGGCGTTATTCCACCTCTGAAGTTACAGGCTCTCATCTTTATTCTCTTGTGGGGTTTACAGACAAAAGCATTAGCTGCATGACGTTCAGCCCCTAGGACATCCAAACCAGACCATGGCACAATGGGGTCTGGGAAAGGTTTAGCCCACCCTGCCTTTGAATGCAGACCTCCACATGGGCTTCTCTCCCTCTTGGTCCTACAACACACGTGGGCTTAGCAAATATGAGGAAAGCTTCAGTCATGCAAAATGCCCAGGATCAAGGTGATATCATTGTGTATGGGAAGAAAACCGTTATAGGACGATCTACCCAACGTTGTGTTGCCCTTGAGGCTACCATTCCTGACGCCATCATATCCTTTGCAGCGGGTGCTAATCACAGTCTGGGACAATAGGGCAGAACGAGGTTACACTCATAACGCTTAAACTACCTGGGTGCAGGTGGTCACTAACCTATCACTCACTGTGTGGCACGGGTGTTTTGGAAGGACACCGAAAGGAGCAGAACAAGAACTGGTTTGGAACAGGAGCCCCTACGCTGATAGGACATCGGCACCTTACACGTTAACAGAGAGTGGTGCTTTCTTATCCCATCTACAGTAAGTACAGCACTGGGACTCCTGAATATCTGATGTTACTGGGGGATTTGTTTATGCTTCTTCAGAGTCCTGAAGATGCTGCCAAGGACTGGACGAGCTGTTTAAACTTTCTGGTGTGTGCAGGTGAGCTTTTTACACACCGGGCCCCTCCTTCAGCTTGTGTAAATCGAGTGAGCTCCTTTTCACATCAATAGAGTTATACTCAGTTACCCCTAATAGGGATCTAGCCAAAGTGTCATGAAATAGCAGCAATGGCTTATTTAGGGACAGATCCCTCTCTTTCTTCATGTCTCCTCCCCCGTTCATACCTCCATGCCCCTTCCCATCATTCCACCATTTACCAGACATGTTCCCCCAGCCGATGGCCAGAAATCCTGATGGGCAGCAGCCAGATGTGATAAGTGCAGTGCATTCTTTCAGTCCCTTTCCAGCCTATACTGGGAAATGAAACTAACCAAAACAGGGTCTTCACTAAGTAGGAGTGGGAGGGGTTAGCAGAGGACAGGGCTACCTGGTCCGTCAAGATCGGTGGTTTTCTTTTCAATATTTTTCACTCGCAGATTATGCCCTGTCATGAGCAATGCTCAATCAGGACTTAGCTTGTCACAATTAGAGCTCCCTGTCTGTTGGCTTTGTCTTTCATTCGTTTTACCTTTCTTTGAATTCTAGAAAAACTTTCGCCAAGCTGCTTCCTCCAGACATCATACAGACATCGATGGCCCTCAGGAAATTGAAGTGCACTTTAATTAGGTCCTAAAACAACGAAAAAAATCAATATGTTAAAAAACCTGAAACTCAATCTATGCGCATGCATGTAAAGTGTTTAGTTAATGCACATGCAGTTCTTTAAGTAACTTTACAGTCATTTTTTGGAGACGTCTAAACAGACCGCTGCAGCTGCCGTTCTCCCATCGGCGTAGGTAATCTACCTCCCCGAGAGGCAGTAGCTAGGTAAACAGAAGAATTCTTCCATCAACCTAGCACTGGCTGCACCAGGGGTCAGGTTGGCATAGCTACGTCTGTCAGGGGTGTGGATTTTTCATTCTGAGAGACTCAAGCTCCCAGTGTAGACCAGCTCTTTGCCTATTAACTGTTTTAATACAAGTGACTCCAGTGAGATATATCCTTAAATCACCATAAATACGAGGGTGTAATTAAGTTAGAAGGTTATACAATGATAAATGCATAGAGGGGTTCTGGGCATATTAAACTCCCTTTACTAGGTCTAGTGGGAGCAGTCTAGCAGCATACAATAACCGGCCAGAATACCGTAAAGCCCACACAATGCAGCCTTGTGAAAATGGACCAAGAAGGTGGAGTAATGCCTGCATTGAATCTGAATCACTGACATGATGGGCCTATGCTGATAATGGAACAACTGCGTCTGGCTGCCTTTGGTTAGGAAAACTCAACTGCTTAATTGCAGCAACCTGTGCGGCTGCCATCCCCACATGTCAGACTGAAGCAAGAGCTCAGCCTCCTACGCTACTGCAGAGTAAACAAGCCATGAAGGTGCACCACGAAAACCTCCTGATGAGCCCTGAAGTCTCCATTAACGAGGCTCATGCTGTTCTCCCAGTGCTGCCAGCTGTCTTCAGCGGTGCTACTATGGGAGAAGAGCCATTCATCATCTTGCCATCCCAGATGGCACTTAGGTGATAACATGGTGACCACCTGGGACAGGAGGAGGATGTGGCCATAGGTGGAGAGGATAGGTCAGATAACTTACTACCTCTCCTTGGACTGTCCGGGGAAGGGGTGGGAGGCTGGGCGTGGGGGAGCAGCCAGAGACTGATATCGGTAGGTCAAACACCAAAAGATCAGAAAACAGATCATAAATCAGATCTGGAAAGCAGGCTGAACACAGAATTCACTTGGACTTCAGTGGGGTCCCTGCATGAAGGGGGAAGCTCACCCCAGAAGAGGGCTAGCATGAGGACTAGGCAGGTCCTAGCTTGCCTTAAGTAGCACTTAAATACTATGTAGGCCTTATGCTAGCTTTCTGCCCAGAGGTGAATCTTCACCCAATAAGCATCTAACAGAACTTGATCCTGTGTCAACCTCGCTGTACACAGATGAAAGCTTCAAATGCTGGATTATGGCGTCACGGCAGGATCAAACTGGAGGGGAATCTAGGCTGCGTGTGCACATGCATAACAAGAATACCTAGTATTTATATAGCACTTTTCACCCATAGATCTCAGAGCACTTGACACAGGCGGAAGGCACCATTATCCCCAATTCACAGATAGGGACTGAGCTAATGAGGTGAAGTGACCTGCCCGAGTTCTCCAAGCAGGCCAGTTGCAGGGCTGGGTATAAAACCTGTCTCTCACGTCCCTGTCTAGTGTGATACTCACTAAGCCACACTGCCTGTTCCTGTGTGTATGTAAGTCTTTACAACAGAAAGAAAGAAAGAAAGAAAGAAAGAAAGAAAGAAAGAAAGAAAGAAAGAAA